CTCGATCTGTTGGACAGACATGTGGTAACGTCACTGCAAAACGGCATCGAGCTCCAGGACCTGTTGCACGAGATTAGATCTACACGTGCGGCATGTTTAATGCTTTCGTGTCACATGCACAGCGTTTTCAGGACCGTGGGGTTACAGCACGTGTGTCTCGCGTATCGCTGGCCTGTGAAAGCTGTTACCGCGGACCCCAACTGTGACGAGGACGACGCGCAATGTACTACAGTGGACGGTGTACGGCGAAAACTGCAAGAGATAACAGTGACACTAAAAGGCAGCCTATTCCCCACGTACACAGAGACTGCGATCAGCGTGCTTTGCAAGTACATGCTCCTAGAGCATGTTGGTGAGACAGCGAATCCAGATGCATTCACATCGGAGCCGTGTATCCGGTCTTTAGCCATGAAATTGTACGCACGACGAGCCCTGACCATAGAACTGCTTAAATATAAGCCTGTCCGCTGCATAGCAGCGTGTTGCCTAATAGCCATGACCAAGACGTTAGACATTGCACCCGTCGACGCAGAAACATTACAGCTGACTGTGATAGATCTGCTTCTGGATGTGAACTGTCAGGGCGTGAGTGAACAAGAGCTAAATGACATGGCTAGGCTACTGGCGCCGGAGGACTGCGTGGTGTGCACCGGTCGATTTGTGACAACCGCTTGTGCAGAGAGAGCATTGCGAACATTGTCGGCTTCGTCCTGCTGCGGTTGTAAAGAACTGGTCGGATGACATTGCTGTACAAAGTGTTCTTGTCATGTATACACATTGTGAAAACAAATAAACGAACGCATTTGATATATCAGACTGTATGTTTTTTTTTATTTGTCGTTGGAACATAAACATTGTCTTGTTACATTCACACATTAGCAAGCAACAGATCGATTGAATGCCACGCTCATTACTAATTACATCTATGATCGTTGGCGTGTAACACAAGAGGAATCGTGCCGACTTCGTTGCCTCGCCCGTCTCTTGTAGGTTCCACGTCCCGTATTTGCCCGGTGCCACTACGATCCCAGACGGCTTTTTTGATTCTGCTGTCACAGCACCTGGCTTCAGTTGGTGAGGCCCACGCTAGTATCACCGCGGGGGTCTCGTTTGTGCACAGCCATACCCTCGAGACCGATCCTGGGTTCGTAGTATATGTCACCTCGATGTGTTCTCCAATGCAATACACACGAAGAGGTCGAGCAAGGATCCCCGCTTTAATTAGCGC